TGGCCCCTCGCCCCCCTCCAGAGCAACCTCTCTTGGAGCGTGGCAGGAAAGGCACTTCTGGGCCCCCGGATACCCGCCTGCCCGTCGCCACCCTTAACTCGAACGTTTAGTGCCCAAACTTCGTTTGCATGTATTAGCTGTTGTAAATCTATCATAGCAGCGTGACGCGGCATGAATAATGCATCGCGGGGCTGTATTAGTTTTCTGTCTCCTATCTTATTTATGACACGAAACGGGTGGGAATTTGCAAAAGCGAAATCCAGGCGCGGGGCTTCTTGGGTAATAGTATGCAAATTGGCGCGAGGGCGGGCCGGTGAGCCGTCCCCGTGGTCCCGTGCTTGGCCTCAGGGTGTAGGGAGCCGCCCAGCGGGGCTCCCCGCGTGCACCCGCGGGCCAGGGTGCACATTCCCCCCCAGGTACCTCGGTTCAGCCGGTGTGGCTCGATTTTTTTTTTTTTAGTACGCATGTCATTGTTGTCATTCCATTATTATTATTATTATTATTATTATTACTGGTGAAGCAAGGTAGTTTTTACTGAAACTTATTTAGACAGATGTGAGGAGAGAGAAAGAGAGGTACATGCTTGAGAGAGAGAGCACAGGCTTCTCTCGAGTGGAACTGGGCCATTGAAGGAGCATTGAGGATTTTTCAAATTGCGATTGACCGGCCAGGGTGGTGGTCACTGTGGCCACTGGCTGGGCTGGCGGCCTCCACCTTCTGCCCTGTAACACAAGCCCAACACCCTTGGGGGGGGGGCGGTTAGGCCCGTGGGCAGGGCTCACTTCCTGCCCTCCTGGCAATGTGCCCAGCTTGAGTCCAGCCTCTGCACCCCTGGGCTGCTGCTGCCGCCCAGGGAATGTGGGATTCCGCTCCCACTAGCTCTCCCAGCAGGGGGGGCTCCTGGCGAGCAGGGGGGTCTGGGAAGGTGGGTGAATGCCTGGATCTTTTTCACTCTGCCAACCTGTCAGTCAGGGCACACTGGGAGCCGCCGCCTTGGGAGCTGGGCAGCCACCCAGGGCCAGCCCTGCCCCCCCTTGCGCTCTCCGATGCATGGCTGCTGGAAGACCTTTCCAGAAAGGGGTCCGCCACCCCTGCTCCTGCTTCAGAACCATCCAGGCAGCTCCTCCTCGGTGTTTCCTGGGCCCAGCCCCTACTCTCTTGGATACCCCGCCTGGCGTGGGGGAGGTGGTGGCGGGCGGGGGCCGCCCCCAGCCTCGGATACAGCACTCCCTGTGCTCACTCATGCCAGAGTCTGTTGTCGGCACCTTGTGATGGATCTAGCACAAGCCTCCGTGCTAGTGATCTGATTAACACCCTTTAGGAGTCGGGGAAACTGAGGCAGGGAGAGGTGGGACTGGCCTCGCCCTTCTTCCAGAGTAGGAAATGGGCACCGTGATGTGTCTGCAGCAGGCTCTGGGATTAGCCTCTTCCTACACTGGCCTCACCCCTCTGAGCCTCGGTTTCCCCTCTGACGGGAGATGCAGAGTGGTCCAATTCTCCTCGAGGGTGGCCGGGACGCGGGGAGACCCCCGAGCCGCAGTGAGCGCCGCCCAGCATGCCCAGGGGCTGTCTCTGCTGGAGGCCACCCGGTCGCTGGCTGGGGCCTGCTCATGGCTGCCGCAGGGCAGGGATTTGGGCAGCGGGGACGCTGACGCCGCTGGCACGGGAACTGACAACGCTACGCTGGCTCTTATAATGGGAGAAAGCAAGAGGAAATTAAAAGGGACTAATGAGAGAATATCAACAGCCCACGCTCTAGATGCGCTCTCCACCCAGCCTCCCTGCGCGGCCGGGTGTGCTCGCCGGGAGTTCACTTGGTTTCTTAGAGGCCAGTTGCTGCTGGGTGCTTCAGGCTGCCCTCCGCAGGACACTGCCATGTGCCCGTGTGCCCGTGTGCCCGGGCTGGGGGGCAAGTCCGTCTGCCGTGTCTGTGGTGATCAGCGACAGGCGGGCTCGGTGGGAGGAGTGGTTCATTCTGAGAGGGCCTGGGGGGTAGCTTTAAACCCCTCCCTCTCTCGCCCCCCCCCCTCCCCCCCCGCCAATGTGTTGGCAAAACCTTTGGAGCGTTTTTTCTAGAGCAGAATCACCAAAGACACCACGTTCCACCCCGTCTGTTTCCATGTGCGCTGTTACAGACGAGTCTGGGCCGCTCACCCCTCTCAAAGCCAGAGGGGACGAGCATCCTCCTCCCTGCTAAGTCCCCAAGATGATCATAGCCCCCTCTCCCCCCCCCCCGCCCCCACCGCAGAATCACCTGTTGGACAAGAATGACCTCAGGACCCCACTTGGCTGGACAGTAGATGGAAACCGGAAACCCTGGGACCAAAGCTGGCTTGCTGGGAAGAGGGGGAGGGACACCAGCGGGTGACCCCACCCCCCACCCCAGCCTCTTGCCCTGCCTCACAACTCAGAGCACTGTCTGTCCCTCCCTGTTCCCCGCCAACCCCCTTTATCCATCAGCCCTCGAAGGCCTGCCGGGCCTGGACTCTCAGCATCTTTGACCCTGGGGCAGTCTGGAGGTGGGGGTTCCCAGCAGCCAGAGTCTGGGCTCCCCCCCCACCCCCGTGCCCTGACTTTCAAGGCTTGGTGGTGGCTGCTGCCTTTTAAGCCCCCTTCTCACCGTCCCTCCCCCCATCTCAGCCAGTTTCGAAGCTGTGAGCTGGCAGTGGGGACCAGAGGAGGGGATGTGTGTCCACAGCCTCTCTGGCAACTTGGCAGGGAGTGTGACCTCTGGGGCTCTGTCCCCATCCTGCCTCCAGCCAGAGTGACCCCACAGTCATGGGCTTCTCAGTGTTTTCGTGCCCCCTCCCCCGGAAGGCCCAGCGCACAGTAGGTGTGCAGGGAACTGACCCTTGGCCAGCCGCCTTGGTAGCGGGAGTGGGGGGGGGCAGCAGCAGCGCGTGCCCAACCCCCTTCCCCAAGGCCTTCCGGCTCAGCATCCTCAGAGCTTCGTCCTGGGAATGGGTGGGAGCCCGGCCAGGCCACAGGGGCGTCCCCTGGAGGCGTGTTGGTGTGTGATGGGGGCCAGCAGCGTGGCCCTGGGCGGAGATAGAGGAGACCTGTGCTGTATGGACGGTGAGACGCACATGCCCTGCCTCACCCCAGTCCCTGGGATGCCCCGCTGGGTACCCAATGGCACCCCCACCACGTCAGGCCATACCACTGACGGGTGGAGGAGGAGCAGCCAAGGCCCCGGTGGAGACTCAAGGGGTCACCCGGAGCCTCCTGTGAATTTCCAGTCCCTGGGGACAGACTCAGCACAGGGCAGAGTGGCTAGAGTGCTCAGGGCGAGCAGGAGAGCAGTGCCCGCGAGCCCAGGCGTGACCTGCAGCCTTCCTTTTCCTTCTGCGAGGAGAAAAGTCCTCAGTGAGCACACGGATGTCCGTCCTTTAGTCACCGGCTGCTCGTCCTTTGCAGGCCGTCCCCCGGCCCCCACTGCCCCTCTTTTGCCTGAGCCCTACCTTGGGACCCAGAGACTGCGATATACCACCGGCCCTGTCCAGGGTGCCCAGGGGCTCTGGCCAGCACCCCCCATCCCCCGCCCATCACCCTGACCATGTTCTCGGGTAGGGGCAGGACCCTGTGCTGTCCTTCTCTTGGATCCCACCCAGACCTCACCCGCTTCACTTGGGGCTGGGCAGATTCGCACAGGGCTGGGCAGAGGCCCCCTTGTTATGCCGCTGGGGAAATAAGCCTGGATTTCCGCCCGACTTCTCTTCTAATTAGATTCTCACAGCAGTGGGGTGGGGGGGGGGCGGGCTGGGTGTCTGAAGGCAGGCTGAGGTGTGGCTGCCCAGGGCCCCCGGCCCCTGCTGCAGTGACAGTGACTTCTGACCCTGTCCCAGGCCTGGGTAGGTGCCACCGCCCCTGCCAGGAAGTGGGGGGGATTATGGGGGTGCAGGGGTTTGTTCACACCCCCTGCCTGGGTCTGTGTGGAGCTATGGATGTTGGCGTTTGGGGTCTGCAGAGGTAGTATGCTGGGACCCCCCGGTCCCTCTCGCCGCCCCAATTACTGGTTGGCGGTTCTGTGTGGAGTCCCAGCGGCCTCGGTTTCTCCCCCGTGATTGTGACTGGGAGGGGAGCTCCTGGCTGAGCCCCCTCGGCAATGGACCCGTGTTCTCCAGCGCCCAGGCCTTCAGAGAGATCCTCTGGGGGTAGGCTGTCCTCACCCCCCAATCCCAGGGGGTCCCAGGAAGACGTGCTGTCCTCAGATGAGAATTGGACGCCTGTGCTGCTCAGATGGCAGGCGGTGGATTGGGGGTGCTGCAAGGCCAAAGAGTTGGAAGTACTGACCGACCCCCCTGCACTGCAGGGCCCGGCCCTGTGCGCATGCTGGCTGTGGGCCAAGCCCCTCCAGCTCACTGGGGTGGGGGTTGGGGGTGCAGGTGCATTCTGAGGCTGACAGAGTTACTGGGCAGGAGGGGTGCAGAGTGGGGGCTGTTCACGTGAGTACAGGGACAAGGACACCCTTCCCCACAGCCCATCCCAACTGCGGTGGGTGCAAAACCCTGACCTCTGTCTGGTCTCCTCTTTCCGAATAAATAAATAAATAAATAAAAATTAGACAGACACCTGCCAAAACCCAGAACCCACTAGCATGGAATGGACGCCTTGTCCTCAAATGCCTGCCCTTCCCGCTACCTGTCCCCAACTGTCTCTGGGGAAAAAATGCTTCTCCCCCGGCGGGTTTTACCTGCCTGCCACTTCCCCAGTCCCTGCTGTGTCTGCCCTTCCTCTCTGTGATCCCCTTTTGGGCCATCTGTGTTGTCTTCCATCCGGCTGCATTGTCCTTCGCCTGCCCTGGCGACCTCTGATGGCTTCTGTCCACCCAGAGGTCCTGTGCACCCCCTATAACCCCCTTCCCCCTGCAGGGTCCTGAGGTGGGCCAGGTTAGAAGGCTTTGCACGGGGTAGTGGGCACCCATGGCCCACTATCAACCCCCCAGCAGGGTCGCTGCGCGGCCCCCACCGACGACCTGCCCTCCCCTCTCTGTGCCGCAGCAAAGCTTCGAGGCGCACCAGGACGAGGCGGTGAGCGTGACGCACATGGTGAAGGCAGGCAGCGGCGTCTGGATGGCCTTCTCGGCCGGCCCCTCCATCCGCCTCTTCCACACCGAGACGCTCGAGCACCTGCAGGAGATCAGCATCGCCACCAGGACCACCTTCCTCCTGCCAGGTAAGGGGGTGCTGGGGCCCAGCTGCCGCGGGATGTGTGTGTGTGTGGGGGGGGGAGAGGGCTCCAGGAAGGGAAACTTGAGTCCAGGCGCAAGCTCAGACCTGGCCCGGCCCTGCCCTGCTGGCTGTCACCATCCTCCGTCCCTGTCATCCCGGGTCCAGGCAGGCAGGGGTGTGGGCTGAGGTCGAGCTCCTTGTCTGTGCTCTGACTGTGGGGCTCGTGGGTCGCTCCGTGCGGGTCTCCACGAGATGCGCAGGGCCAGCAGCTCTGCCCTGATGCTGGTGTCCACCCTCCTCCTTTTATTTATTTATTTATTGCTTTTCGGGTCACACCTGGCGATGCTCAGTGGTTACTCCTGGCTCCGCACTCAGGAATCACTCCTGGAGGTGCTTGGGGGACCATATGGGATGTTGGGAATTGAACCCGGGTCGGCCACGTGCAAGGCAAACACCCTACCTGCTGTGCTATCGCTCCAGCCCCAACCCTCCTCCTTTTCATCAGCCTCTTCACAGTCCTCCCTGCCCTCGCTACAGCTGCACCCCGGTGCCCCCTGCTCCTGCGGGGCCGCCTCCCCCCACCCAACATCAGTGTCTTCCTGCCCCACAGGGATATACTGGAGCTAGCCTCTGCCCCCTCGGCCTTGGGCCCAGGCCCAGGACACACTTGCTGTACCCAGCCGCCCCCTGGGCTACTACCCTGACCTCCTCCCCACAGGCCTGGCCCTTCCCAATCAGCCACACCACAAGGAGGAATCAGGGCATCGGCCTTGGGGCCAGGGGGCGGGGGAGACAGGTTGGGGGGGGCCATCGTCCCAGATCCTCCCTGCTCTGTGCCCCGGTGGAAGAACCACCCAGCAGGGTTTTCGATTCTTTATTAGAGATATTTTTAAAAGGGCCTTTTAAGTCCTTTTTTCTTCTTCCTCCATGCTCCCCCCCTCCCCATGAAATAATTGCTTAATTAGTAATAAATTTGCCCCCTCTTCTAAGTGTGGATTGTTTTAAAGGGCGTGTTAAAAATTTATCACGCTTCCTTTTCCTGACCCCATTCTTCGACTCCGTCCCCGGCTGGTATTAATGCGTTTTGGAGCCTAAGCTCCCTCCTCCTCTTAACTAGACAGGTCATTAATAAAATGTTTTCCGAGAGCCTGAGCTTTTTAAAGTTGTATATCTCCAGATAGATGGCCTGGGTGAGTTGAGCGCTGCTGCATTAAGTCTCCGTGATAAAATATTTATCCGCCATTAGACGTTTCCCACCCCTCCCAACACCCCCCCCCCCACCCCCCGTGTGCCTTGCTCTTTTCCTCGAGGTTGCGGGATGGGGGGGGGGGGTGGTGTGCCCAGATCTAGGCCTGCAGATGAAGTCGTATCTCAGTTCCCTCCCTTCTTCCCGCTTCTCCACTGCTCTCCTTTCTGGGGGTCGGGGTCGGGGGTCTGGGGAGGGGCCGAGCGGGTGTGGGGCTTCAGGCTGTAGGTTCCTGCTGGTCTCCAGAACCCAGGACCCCCCCCCCCCCCCCCGCTCCGGAAAAGGCAGCGGGCTGTGTGGTGACATTTGCTGCCCTTGCCTGGCCCAGCTTTATTATTTCTGTGGGTTTATGGTGCTGACGGGGCTGATCTTACGGCATTAGAATCTAGGGCCTTTTAATAATCACAAACATTCTCCTAATCGCCTCCGTTCATTGATTACGTCCTGTGGACTAAGGCAGCGCTCCACTGTGCAAAGACATTATATATACATTTACATACACTGTGTGTATTCATATGTAAACATGGATTTCTAACAATCGTCAGCTGGGGCGATGTATATTCATGATGAGAGGAAGTGGCTCGTCCAGATTCCCGTAGCTCAGAAGCGACAGGGACACCAGGCGCCCTTCAACTCGTGACTCTCCCTCTCTCCCTCACGCCTCAGGCACGCGCTCATTCACTCTCACTTACGCTCTCTCTCTCTCTCCCCCTCTCCCCTGGCATCCGTGGGCGTCCACTCTGGTCTGGCTCTCGGGGGCAGGATTGCTAAGCGCAGGGACAGGCTCACCTTAGGGCCTGGGAACCACCAACACACACAGAAAAAGAAGGGGCTGGAGGATGGGGTCACGACAGCAGGTAGCACTGTTCTCTCTGGGACGGCTGGTTCCACCGTGGTCCTTCCGGCCAGCCAGAGAGTCCATCACAGGACAGCCACTGAGCAGGGCCAAGAGGGGCTGAGAGTAGAGGCTGCCCCTCAATCCCCCATGGGGTCTGCTCCACCCTTGGGACTGGACCCGGTGCTCTGCCTCCTCGTGGGCACCCTTGTCTCGGGACCAGAGCTGCTTGGACTGCCCAATCCCCTCTTCCTGCCTCACCCTGACCCCTCCCCTGGCACCCCATGGCCCCCGCCTCCATTCTGCCCCCCACCCCCCAAACCAGGGCCTTCCCTACCTCCATCCCTGCAGGGTGGCTGTGGCCCTGGTGTGGGCCACCCCTGGCCTGCCCTGGTGCTAGGTGACCGTGCCCTGTGGGTGGGGAGCCCCGGACCCCACAATAGGGGACCTGGACATCCTCCTCCCCATCTCAGCCTCCTGTGGGTCTTCGTGGAGGTGCCGGGCGAGCTGTCTGGGAGCCTGGCGGGGCCCCGGGACCCTCTCACACTGGCCTCTCTCCCCACAGGCCAGAAGCACCTGTGTGTCACCAGCCTGCTCATCTGCCAGGGGCTGCTCTGGGTGGGCACTGACCAGGGGGTCATCGTGCTGCTGCCCGTGCCGCGGCTGGAGGGCATCCCCAAGATCACAGGTGAGGTGTAAGGAGCTGGGCGGGCAGGGCGGGGCCAGCTGCAGAGGCCCGAGGTGAGGGTGGCTGGGTGGTGGGGGGCGTTGTCCACGTTCCTCTGACAGCCGCAGCGGCTCAGCCTCAGCACCTGTCCCCTGCACTCAGTCACCCCACCCCTTGGTGTCCTGTCCTTCCTTAGCCGCCATTCCCTACCCTGGCCAATGGACCCCGCGATACCTTCCATCCAGGTGGTCTGCGGACAGGCTGAGATGCCTGATGGGGCCCCTCCAGCCCCCACGGCTGCCCATGAAGGGTATCATGGGCCCCTGTGTGCCCTGCCCACTTCCTCACCCTTTGAAGCTTCCAATCCTGGCTCCTCCCCTGAGCCCCCCTGAGGGCCCCTGGGGGTGGGGTCTGTGTAGCAATGGCTCTTACAGGGATCAGAGGAAGCTCCACCCGACCGGACACCAGGCCTCCCCAGGACAAGGGCGCAGGAGTCAGGAGGAGGGCCGGGGTGAGGGGTCTGGGGTCACAATGTGATCGCACTGACCAGGTTCCCAAAGAAACCCGTCCCGGGCACCGGGACAGAGCTCTGAGCCTGGGAGAGCCCCCCCCCCTCAGGCAGGCGCCTCCCTTAATGCCTGTCCTCCTCCCCCCACTCCGCCCCACCCCTGCAGGGAAAGGCATGGTCTCGCTCAACGGCCACTGTGGGCCCGTGGCCTTCCTGGCCGTGGCCACCAGCGTCTTAGCCCCCGACATCCTGCGGAGCGACCAGGACGAGGCCGAGGGGCCCCGGGCGGAGGAGGACAGGCCGGAGGGGCAGGCCCCCGAGGCCGCGCCCGCGCCCGCCAGCCCAGCCGGCCGCGAGCTGGCCCGCAAGAAGGGCGTCCTGCTACAGTACCGCCTGCGCTCCACCGCGCACCTGCCCGGGCCGCTGCTGTCCGTGCGCGACCCCCCGCCCGCCGACGGTCCCGCGCTGGAGCACAGCGAGGAGGACGGCTCCATCTACGAGATGGCCGACGACCCCGACGTGTGGGTGCGCGGTCGGCCCTGCGCCCGGGACGCCCACCGCAAGGAGATCTGCTCCGTGGCCATCATCTCGGGCGGCCAGGGCTACCGCAACTTTGGCAGCGGCCCGGGCGGCGGCGGGAGGCCGGCGCCCTGCGGGGAGACGGACAGCGCCCTCCTCATCTGGCAGGTGCCCTTGACCCTATAGCCCCCACCTGGGGCCCAGGGCTGGCCGCCTGGGTGTTCAGGGATCGTCCCCGGGTGCCTCGCCTTTGAGGGATGGGCTCAGAGTCCAGCGCGTGCACCTGGAGTCTCCAAGAACCTCCCCTGGCAGGGCAAGAAAAGAACCCTGTCGTTGGTGTGGATGAGGCCGGAGAGCCCAAGGAGCAGGGGAGAAAAAAAAAGGAAACAAAAACCAAAAACTCGAAACCTCACAGACACTGGGCATGCCCCTGGGCCTGCTGTCTGCCCCCCACCCCCCACCGCGGGGCCGGGTGCAGGGGGTGTGCGGTGTGTGAATATCTATAAATACGTATATATATATATGTGTACATTCTATGTGTATAAATAAAGTCTGTACATATCGGAGCTCTGGGAGATGCTGGAATAAAGGCAAGAGTAAAGTCCCTACGTGGACGGAGGTTTTCTTTTGTTTGGTTTTGGGAGTGGCTGTCACCAGACAGGTTTCTCAGCCGCTGCTCCAGCAGGAACCAGGGGTGGGAGGGGGGCTGGGAGCCGGCCGGCCCATGGGGACCCCCAGCCACGTGCTGACTCGGCTCCAAGGGCATCAACTTGAGATGACAGTAACAGGAAGCTCTCTGGTGCCCAGCCCCAAAGCCACTGTCTCTGTACGGCTGGAGCACCCCCTCTCTCCGGGTCAGTGACCCACCCTAGAGGCAGTGTGGAGTGCCAGAATGTTCTCTTCTGCTCGTGGTGGGGCGTGGGGGCCCTTCCTTGGGAGCTGCTTTGCTGATGTTTGCTGGAGGAAACAGCAGCCCCACTCCCACCCCCACCCCCCACCAAGCTTGGCTGAAAACTGGAGGTTCATGGGAGGGGTGTATGTGGGGGACAGCAGCCAGGTTGGAGGAGGCTGAGGAAGGTGGGGGGCATTTCAGATGGTGGGTGCAGAGAGGGCCCAGGCCATGGGCAGGGTGGGGGGTGCGGCCTGGTGGTCTTCTCCAGACTCTGTCCACTGGCTGATTTCTGTGTTTTTCTTTTTTTTTTTCTTTTTTGTTTTTTGGGTCACACCTGGTGATGCTCAGGGGTTCCTCCTGGTTCTGCACTCAGGAATTACTTCTGGCGGTGCTCAGGGGACTATATGGGATGCCGGGGATCGAACCCGGCAGGGTCGGCCGTGTGCAAGGCAAATGCCTTTCCCACTGTGCTATCGCTCCGTCCCCTCCACTGGCTGATTTCTGAAGCTGCCGCTGGGGTCAGCCCAGCCTCACCTTCAGATCGCCCTGATCATGTTTCTGTGTTGCCCTACCCCTTGGTCTGTCTGCTTGCTGGCCGCCCACCCCTCTGGCCCATCTCTATCCCAGGAGGTGGGGGGAGGAAGTGGTGGGTGGGAGTGGGGGGTGGAGGTAGGGGGATGGGGGGGTGGGTGGGTGGTCCCCAGGAGGACTCATTCACTCCTGCTGTTCCCTCTCAGGGATCCTGTCCTCCTGGCCCAGGACAGGCTGGTTCTCCTTGGCGGATGGGGCTCAGTGGGGGATAGGAGAGGGAGCTGTAGGGAGCCTCAGAGAGAGGTGGGAGGGCCTCTTGGGGAGGGCAGCCTGTCCAATGGGCGGGGGGTTATGCTTTCCCAGGAGGAGGGGACCCTGTGTGTGGAGGAGTCATGGTCCCAAGCACCGTGACCCTGTTCTGTTCCACATGAACTCTGGGCCTCAGTTTCCCCATTCTGTGTCAAAGCCCTGCTATCCTGTCCACCTCCCCCAGGAGATTGGGTCCTTGTGAGGACAGGGGAACGAGGGCATGGTGCCCAGGTGCGTCACCCAAGCCCTGTCTGGGGGTGCCCCTATCTGTAGGGAAGGCTGGTGACAGCCCGGTGGGGTGGGAGGGCCTGTTCTCAGGAGTTCCCCATCTGAGGGTGGACTCACAAACCTGCCCACCTACCTTGACAGGGAAGCTGCTAGTCGGATAGGGGGGCATCTGTCTGCCCCCCGGGAAGCCTGAGTTTGAAGGGGGAGCCCCAGCCCAGCTTGCCAGTGTGATCGGGGGAAATAACAGATTCTGCCCCGGCAGAGATGCTGGTTTGAAGGGGGGGAAGAGTGTCTGATCTGATGGTGGAGGTCATGCGGTGAGGTGGGCGAAGTCTCTCTTTCATGCCCCTCCCATGACCTCCTGACCTCCCAGTGTGAGAGAGGGAACTGGACGGCCGCTGGCGTGAGCTGCCGCCACCCCCCAGCCCCAGTGCAGATGGAGTCCCAGCAGTCGCTCTCTTCCCAGCCCCGCTTGCCTGGGGGAACGGCAAGATAGCAGGAATGTGTAAATTGAGGAAAATTAATATAATTACCTGAGCAATTTCTTGTCATCTTTGCATATCAACAGAAACCACAGATGGCTCCTGGAGAGAAGGTGGTCAGTGTGGGGCCTCCCCTAGGCAGGCTGCCCCTGCCTGGCACCCCTGGGAGGGGTGGTGGGCACTTGGGAGGGGTTTTCTAGCTCCCCCTCTATGTGTGATGCTGGCTGCTGGCGCCGGGGGGAGTCCAAGCTGGCCAAGTGAGAACAGGTGCTGTTCCCCTCCCCCCCCCACCAACACACACACACACACACACACACACACACACACACACACACACACACACAGCCCTCAGATGCTTATCCCCACGTGACAGATGCGGAGACTGGCACTCGAGAGGGGCGGTCCCTCGCCCAGGCTCGTGGTTCGGCCCCGCTGGCCCACCCCATCCCCAGCCCTAACACCAGGCCCCTTGCCCAGCCAGGCCACCTCCATGCTGCCTCCTAGGACCCCCATGGGAACAGGGCCCTGGCATCCACTACTCCCTCCCAAGCCACCCATGCTCAACCTCTGTCCTCTTGTCTAGTACCAGCTGACCGCTGGTCTGTTTTGAGGCTGAAGCCAGTTAATGCACGTCAAATGCCCAGCGCTGCTCGGGCCAGGTGAGGTCCATTAACACGCATTAACACGGTGATTCTCCCCCTCCCTCCCCAGGAGCCCTGCCAGGGGTCTCCCTTCCAGGCTGCCCCTCTCCACAGCCTGAGCCTGCACAGAGGCATGGCTGGACCAGCTGGATGGCCGGCCCTTCTGCTGCCCTCAGGTGAACACACGTGGGGTCTGCTCGCCCATGCTGAACCGGGAGCAAAGTGCCACGCACTCGGTGCTGTTGGGGTAACACCCCATTGTGGGGCCCACAGGGAGGCCAGGTAGGTTGGCAGAAACCAGGTGTGTGCCGGTGGGCCAAGCGTGGGCTTCGTTCTTCCAGCAAGTGAGCTGTCCCGCGTGGCTGTGTGCCAGGCTCCGGCGGGTTCAGGGCCCTGACAGTGGATATGCAGGCATGACCCCTGTCTCCCTGGAGCAGGGTCCCCAGCCCCCATGGGCAACAGTATGGGAGGAGAAGGTTGCTGGAGGCCCAGATGGAGGGAAGAGCTGCTGCTTGGGGTGGGGTGTTAGGATGGGGGAGTCTCTCGTTGGCCTCAGTTTCTCCTGCTCTTAACATGGTGATGATCCGCCCTCTGCCTGGGGCTCGTATCAGGGGGCCTGTGTGGGTGGCCTCAGGGTGAACTCCTCACTATATGACAGTATCAGACCTGGCCATCAGTGAACCCTTTGCCCTTGTAGGGGCAGGGGAGGGGGGTTCTCTTCTCCAGGCCCCATCTGGGGTGGGGAAGGACACCCAAGGTGCTCATGGGCAGGGTTATTGGGTGCCAGTACACAGGAAGCTGCACTGTGTGGGCCAGGCTCAGGACCTTTTGGTTCTAGGGACTGGGGGCCCAGGGCTGGGGTGACCAGGGTCCTTCAGCTCCATTTCGGGTCTCCAGAGTTCTTTCTAGCCTCAACAAAATTCTGAGGGACAGACACAATCTTCTCCTGTTAATTTCTGCTAAATTAGGTGACCAGGCGTTTTTTTTTTTTTTGCAAATCTAGAGACATGTATTAGCATGCTATTTTGCATAAATCAGGCGATCATTTGCATTCATTTGCATCTTGATGTGAGGTTCAGGAGACCCAAACTCAGTGTGTAAAAAAAAATCAAACAAGAGTGTTGTGTCCACAGGGAGGGCAGGAAACTTGCCATGCACGTGGTTGACCCAGGTTCAATCCCCAGCACCCCATATGATCCCCCCACAAGCCTACCTGCAGTGATTCATCAACAGAAAGCTGAGAACAAACCCTCAACTCTGCTGGGTGTGGCCACAAAACAAAATAAAAACAAAACAAACAAACAAGAAGGTTGCATTCATCTGCTCTGAGCCAGTTTGAGCCAAGCTGGTAGGACGAAGGAGCCTGGAGACATCTCTGGGCTGTCCCGGGAAGGATATAGGCCAGCTCTAGGTGCGTGCAGGACTTGGGCACTTGATAAGGAGAAGCCAGAGAAGCTGAGATGAAGGCACAGGGTGGGGTTTCCTGGACTGACCAGCAAGGCCCTTGCAGAGCTGTGGGCAGTAGGGAGTGGGGATCCCTTTTGATAGAGGCCAGACACCCATGACCCCTCACCTCTGCAGAGCTTTTTCTTATGGTCCATCACCTCTTTTAAAGACATGGGGACAGAGCGAGGGCTGACGTCACCCATCCAAGGCCACAGGACTGGTCTGTGGGGTCCCTGGATGCAGACACAGACCCCTATGGTCCAGAGGCATTCTGGTCTGCTTAGGGAGGAGAGAAACCCCACACTGGACCCCCCACCCCCCGCCCACTGCCACCCCTGCTGGCTCCCCCGGCATCTATCTCCTCCTTTCCTGCTTCACTGGGTTGGCCTCCTGAGGAGAACCTGGGCCTCTGAATAGCCTGGTTTCCATGGCAACGGTACCCAGCACAGCCCAGGTGCCCGGGAAGGGGGTGCTGCGCCCCTCCCCTGAGGGAAGGAGCTTGCTCCAGCCTGGCCCAGAGCTGAGCCTCCCTCACAGGCGAGGGGACCCAGGGCCGACCCCTCTGCAAACTCTGTCCCCTCTGCCCAGTTCTGGTGGGATTCGGGCTGAAGAGGGAGAAACATGCGCTGTCTCCTGCTCTCAAAACAAAATGGGGCGGGTCTGTGTGTGTGTGGGTGGGGGTGGTGTTTGGAGTTGGGGTCCATGCCTGTTAGTTCGCAGAGGCTGATCCCAGCTCTGGGCTGGGGGAATCCAAGCAGGGTTGACTGCACTCAAAGCCAGCGTCCTACTGGCTATGCCATCTCTCTAACCCACATTATCAGAGGGGCCAATCAGGGCCCTTCCCTAGCATTCCTATGTTGTCTTGGGTGAGGAAAGCTATCTGTTCATTCTGGGGTCACTAAACACTGATGGAAACTCCAGAGTGGTCAGCGGGTGAGTTCCCCAACCCTCCCTGTGTCCACTGAGTCTGGAGGAGAGCAGGAAGCTAAGATGGGCACAGAAGAGGTAGTGGTCTAACACCTTTGGCTTCCTGGGGCCTCTGGGTCAGCTCGCTCTTTA